GGTAGGGGTGTCGAACTCAATCAGAGAAGGGGCCAAAATCTAAAATCCAGCCTAAGTCGCGGGCCGAATGGTTTACTGAACAGTCATAAACTGTCATTGTGATGGAAACGCAGCGGAGTGCAGTGATGACAGCGCGGTGCGGGCCACATTGCAAGGCCTGGCGGGACGGATTTGGCCCGCAGGCCTTGTGTTTGACACATGTGCCCTAGGGGGTAAGTGATGGAGGAAGAGGGGTCTCCCCGCCTTTTCATATTTCCCAACAAAACCCCAAATCTTACAGGCTCATCTCCCCACTTAGAGAACACACTTCCATGTGTCAGACACTGGGGTAAGAACTTACCCTCATGGAGCAGGTAATAATAATAATAATAATAATAGAAATTATTGCCCTGGCTGGGTGGCTCAGTGCGTTGGAGCCTCACCCATACACCCAAAAGGTTGCGGGTTCGATTCCCAGTCGGGGCACCTACAGGGAGCAACCAATAGATGGTCCTCTCTCACCTCGATGTTTCTCTCTTTCTCTCTCCACTCTCTCTAAAAATCAATAAGAATATATCCTCAGGTGAGGATTACAAAAACCGTATAATGATGACGACCGCTAACATTTTTCAAGGGCTCCATGTGCCTGAAACCATCCTCAGTACTTCACAGTTTACCATGTTCTCACGGACAACGGCCCTGCGAGGTAGCGCTATCATGTCCCCATTTCACAGATGAGAAAACTGAGGGCCCCAGGGCACACGGGCCAGCAGTGACAACCTTCACGCTTCGCCTGGGGCTGTCTCCGCCGTTTCCCATGGGAATTCCCACAAAACCTGGGAAGTGTGAGAAAGGGCACCGGGAAGTGTGAGAAAGGGCACCGGAAATGGGGCGGGGACCAGTTCTCTTCAGAGCAGATGATTATCTTCTCTCTTCACGAGGGACGCTGGCTGGAGGGCAGGTGGGGAATGGGAGTCAGAGAACTGAGGCCTAGTGAGAGGGGCAGGGTCTCCCAGTCACGGAACCCTCTTGCTGAGCCGTCCAGGAGACAGAGCACCAGCCCCCACTCTCTGAGCCAGGTGTAGGGGCGGGGCCACCTCTGGAGCCCAGGGAAGAAAGTGAATGGGGGAGAGGGAAGGGCCAAGGTGATTGATGGGAAGGCCCCCTGGGGGGGGCTAATTACATAATAGGCTTAATGGTCTGATCGGGCACATGTAAGAGGATTGCCTTGGGCTCAGGGAAACCCCTTCATTCTGGACGCCCTCCCCGGGCAGGCACAGCCACAGTCAGCCCCTCCCCTCAGACCCCCACCGTAGCACATCGGGGGACCCAGAACCTCCCATCTTAGGGGACCAGGTCCAGACCTTACTCCCAGTAGCTGAGGAGGGGGCTTCACATTTCTGATCGTCCCTAGATGCTTTAGATAGTTTAAGGGGTCCTGGGAGAGTTGTCTGTTTGTTTCTTTGTTTTGGGGTTTGTGTGTGTGTGTGTGTGTGTCTGTGTGTGTGTGTGTGTTTTAACCATTGTATGCTTCTATGAATGCGCTTTGTGGGGAAGACACAACATACATGTTAAAAGTGACTGGATGTAAAGTAAAGGGACTGCTTGTCTTGTTTCATGCTCTATCCCCAGGACCTAAAACAAGGCCTGGGCCTGGCCGGGTGGCTCAGTGGGTTGGGCGTTGTTGTCCCATGCACCGAAGGGCTGTGGGTTCTCCTTATCTGCTCTGAACGTTGGGATGTTGGAGTTTCATGGGAGAACATGGACGATAGGTTTCCTTTGCTTTAACAGAAACAGTTGAAAACCACTGGGAGGTGTTTTACAGCCTTAAGCTCTGGAGGCAGAAACGCCCCCACCCCCCGTCGCTGCCCCCAGTGTTTATTGCATGCCCACTGCTGCTGGGCACCGGTGTGTCCCTGGCACATGGCCCCGTGGGCTTCTGGGACACATCGCTCCGAATACATCCCCTCCGCAGCCTGTAAGGAAAGCTTCCAAGGACAAGAGGCACTTGCGTGGGGATCCGAAGGACCGAAGGCATTCACGGGGGCAGGGGACTGGCAGGCAGAGAGGATGTGCAAAGGCCCTGAGGCGGGGCGGAGGAAGACATGCTGGAGGAACTCAGAAAGGAAAGTGTGCCTCGTGCCCACAGAGAGAGACCGGGACCTTAAGCTGGCAGGGTGGGCGAGCCCCATCGCCAAGGGACTTGGGTGGAGGAGGCTCCAGCATGCGTACCCCGGGGGCTGAGGGGCCACCATTGGGTTAGAAGGTAGCGAGGCGAGCCACCTGCCGTGAGGCAGCGTGAACCGAATGCTTTACCCGTGACCACGAAGGAGGGCACAGACGCCCTCGGCTCCGCCTTGGCACCTTGGGTCTGAGACCGACTGTCCTTGATCGCCTTGGCCTTTGGCCACGGGCAGTGGAGGGTGTCAAACGAGGGAGGGCCCGGGACGAAGCGGAGTCGCATTTGAATCTCAGCCCAGCAGCTCGCTGCCTCGGCGCCCTTGGGCTGGTGACCCGGAGCGGGCGCCTTTCCCTGTCCGAGTCCCCCTGTGCCTCAGTTTCCTCTTCTGTAAAAACGGAGCTCGTCCGCCCGCCTCCCTGGCAGGCTGCGAGGAACGGACCAGATCCCTCAGCACGGTTCCAGGGCCACAGGGAGTGCGGAGAGCAGCTCTGGATCCACCTCCTCCCTCCGCCTCCCGCTGCTCCCCCCAGTCAGACTGCCATCGCCTCCGCCCAGACCTTCGCAGTCCCCGCTCACTGGGCTCCCCGCTCTCCACCCTGGCTTCTCTCAGTCTGCTCCCCTCCTGGGGATCTTGCAACCTAAGTCAGACCGCATCCCCCCTCTGCTCAGAGCCCTCCGGGGCTGCCACCTTCTTTGGAGTAAACACCAAAGACCTCACTGGGGGCTATGAGCCTGAGCACCCCACCCCCACCCCTCCGAGCCCTCATGTCCTCCCACTCTGCTCTCTCCCTCAGCCCAGCCACCGGCCACCGCACCCCCTGAAGCACCCCAGGCACAGCCCCACTCCGGGGCCTTGGTACCTGCTGTCTCTCAATAGCCACAGGCTGGGGACAGGATGGTTGGTTCAGAGCAAGGACCCTGGGGCCAGCCTGGCTTCCAATCCCAGCCCTGCCACCTGTGCCAACTGGGCGCTTCCTTTACCTCTGTTTCTCATCTGTAGAATGGGTGTGTGTGTGTGTGTGTGTGTGCACACGCGTGTGTGTGTTATGTGTGTTATGTGTGTGTGTTATGTGTGTGTGTTATGTGTGTGTTATATGTGTTATGTGTGTGTGTGTTATATGTGCGTATGTGTGGTGTGTGTGTGTGTGTGTTATGGGGGGGGTGTTGTCAGTCCTCACCAGAGGGTATTTTATCATTGACTTTTAGAGAGAGTGGAAGAGTGGGAGGGAGGGGGGAGAGAGAGAGACATCAATTGGTTGCCTCCCACACACACCCCGACTGACCAACGGGGCTGGGATCAGGGATCAAACCTGCAACCCCGATGCTTGCCCTGGACTGGGAATCGAACCCGCAACCCTTCAGCACGTGGGCCAACGCTCTAACCCAGTGGTTCCCAACCTTTCTCATGCCGGGACCCTTTCATTCAGTTCCTCATGTTGTGAGTCGAGACCCACAGGTTGAGAACCGCTGCTGTAGAGCCTGAGACCGTCGGAAAACACAGATATTTACACGACGGTTCATTGACAGTAGCAAAATTACAGTTATGAAGTAGCAACGAAAACAATGTTATGGCCGAAACCGGTTTGGCTCAGTGGATAGAGCGTCTGCCTGCGAACTGAAAGGTCCCAGGTTCGATTCCAGTCAAGGGCATGAACACTGGTTGTGGGCACATCCCCAGTGGGGAGGGTGCAGGAGGCAGCTGGTCGATGTTTCTCTCTCATCAACGTTTCTAGCTCTCTGTCCCTTTCCCTTCCTCTCTGTGGAAAATCAATAAAATATATTTTAAAAAGAAAATAATGTCATGGTTGGGGGTCACCACAACATGAGGAACTGTATGAAAGGGTCGCGGCGTTAGGAAGGTTGAGAACCACTGCTCTAACCACTTAGCAACACTGGCCAAAACGAGAATGGCCTGAGAACAAGATGTGAGGGATAGCCAGCAGAGCCAGGGAGACGGAGAGGGGTTACAAGCACAAGTTCCTTTACTTTTCACACTGATGCGGTGGGACAGTACTTGTGAAAAGTAAAGGAACTTGTGCTTGTAAGTACTTGGGAGAGAGTCTAGCCCATAGTAGGTGCTGCGGAGTGTTCGATAGAGAAAGCCACATTCTCGGGAGGGCTTTCCTGGCTAGCGGATCTGACAGTGCGGCCCCTACATGCCCCGTTCTTTTCTTGCCTCTTTAAAAAAAAACAAAGAAAAAAAAAATATATATATATATAATTGATTTTTTACAGAGAGGAAGAGAGAGGGACAGAGAGTTAGAAACATCGATGAGAATCATTGATCAGCTGCCTCTTGCTCATCCCCTACTGGGGATGTGCTCGCAACCAAGGTACATGCCCTTGACCGGAATCGAACCCGGGACCCTTCAGTCCCCAGGCCGACGCTCTATCCACTGAGCCAAACCGGCTTCGGCTTCTTGCCTCCTTTTGTTTTCCCAGCACCTAGCACAGTCTGACAGCCATGCTGTCTGTCCCCACTCTAGATCAATGTAGCTGTGCGTGCTCTTGGCTTAACCACTAGAACTCCTTCGGCCCCGTTTTCCGCGCGAAATCAGGGAGTTGGCTTTTTTCATGGCTGTTTCGCCAGCACCGTGCTAAGCACATAGCAGGTGCCCAGTAACTATTGGTGAGTGAGTGAATGAATGAGTGAATGAGTGAATGACCATTATTACCGCTTTCCTGTCTGCTGTTCTCATGGCCATTGCTCCTGGCGATCCCAGGGGTTCCCTAGCCCCCACCCCATGCTGGCACCGGAAGAAGGGGGTCCCCTCTCCAGGGGAAGACCCCTCCGCCACTCCCCTCCCCCCTGACTCTCCTCCCGCCTGTGCCCCTGCAGAGGAGGGTGAATACTTCCTGAAGGTGCTGATCCCTAGCTACGCGGCGGGCTCCATCATTGGAAAGGGCGGGCAAACCATCGTGCAGCTACAGAAGGAGACGGGAGCCACCATCAAGCTCTCCAAGTCCAAAGACTTCTACCCCGGTAAGCCCCTGCCTGCCAGGACCCTGCCCCGCGCCCCCTGTCCCTCCCACCTGGGCCCCATGAGGGCGACCAGCTGCCCCAGGGACTGTGAGAGTGGTGGGGGACCTCCCCTCCCCCTAAGTGTGTGTGGGGGGTGGGAAGGGGGGGGGGGCGGTACAGGACAGAGCCTCTCTCAGCCCCTGGGGCCAGGCCCAGAGCAGATGGGGGTGGGGGCAGGGCAAGACAATGGGCCTGCTGCATATTCATGAGTTCATTTGCATGATGTGCCCCGGCAGATGTGCCCCTTCCCACACACCTGCCCCTCTGGGTCAGTTGGAGGCACTTGTGAGGAGGGGCAGGGAGGCAGGTGTTAGGGTGCTCCTTGGGGCTTGTGGGCCAGCCATCCTTGTCACACACACACACACACACTCTGTGTCCCCTGCTCTTTCTCTTCGCATTTCTCGGTCACCCCATCCTGCCCGGATATTTTTTCACTGATTTTTAGAGAGAGCGGCACAGTGGGAGTCTCCCTGGTTTTCTGCCTGCTATGTCTCTTTGCCATCCTTTCTCCGACTTGCCCACCTTCTGTTCCCTTAGGCTCCCGTCCCACCGGCCCCTCTCCGTCTCCCTGGCTCTGCTGGCTATCCCTCACATCTTGTTCTCAGTCCCTCATCCGGTCTGTCTGTGGTCCGTCTCTGCTTCTCCCTCTCCCTCCCTCTCTCTCTTCCCATCACTTCTCCCCGTCTTTTCCTCTCCCTCCACCTCGCATGTTCTCTGCCTGTTCTTTCTCCTGCTCTCCCAACTCTGTCTGTTCAATCACCCATTCAACCAGCGTTGCATAGCACCCCTCCATGGGGTCACCCCTCCTCCTGCTCGCCCACCTCTGTCTTCATGTTTCGCTCCTTTCCCTGTGCCCCGGCTCCCTCCTGGGTGGCTCCGTTCTCGTCCTTCCCTCTCTCCAAACCCCAGGCTTCTTTCTGTCTCTCCCTCAGGTCTGTCTGCTTTCCCACAACCGCACATTTTCAACGCCCCGCCACTCTCTCTAACCCCCCTCTGTCCCTCTCTCACCCTGCACGTCTCCCTCCCAAGACCGATGCCTGAGCGGGGCACCCAGGATCCCAGGGGAGCCCCCAAAGGAGTGCACCTTTGGCCCAGCTGTTTCTAGTTCACCCTTAATCCCCTTGGGTTTTTTTTAGGTCAAACAGCAGAGATGGAGCCCAGGGTCAGGACACATTTATTCTTTCTCTCTCTCCCTCTCTCTCTCTCTCTCTCTCTCTCTCTCTCTCTCTGCCTCTCCCCCTCAGTAAGCAGCTTTGGCAAGAGGTTTAGAGAACGGTCCAGGGAGCCAGGCAAACCCCCTTTCTCTTCTCCCCTGGCCCAGTTGCCCCCAGGCCCCTCCAGTCCACAAGCGACAGACAGGACCTCTGCTTGGGACATGCGTCCGAGGACACTGTGTTTCTCGCCCCTGAATCACATTCTGAGACACGAGACACGTCATCCTCCCCTTCCCAGCTCAGGGACACGCCCCACAGACCAGGCAGCTGGGAACCCCGGAGGACGGGACAGTCATTGACTCTCCGGGGATAAACACAATCCCAACAAATGGCGTAAGCCAGCGTCTGTCCCCAGCCCTCGGACGGGCGACGGGCCTTCCTTCCTGCTCCCGATCTCAGGGCCTGTGCCAGCCCCTGACTCATACCCAGGACCCAGCCCACTCTACCCTAGTCCTGCCCCTAGGCCTTCCCAGGGCCCACGGGAACACAAGAAATAAGATGCTATTACCGGAGACACTCGGCTGTCTCCCTCTGCTTCCGGCCGACACCCTTTCAGTCATTCATTCAGCTCACGCTCTCTGAGCAGCTCCTCTCTGCACAGAGATGGGGACACAGCAATGACTGAGGTGCCCTCTCGAATCTCACAGCCCAGTGTGGGAGGCAGACCCAGCATGAAGGGTGACCCAGAGTGGTCAGGGCGAGGTAAGGAAGCCCAGAGGATGGTGAGAGCCCAGAGCAGGCACTCGGCTCAGCCTGGGGAAGTCAGGGAGGGCTTCCTGGAGGAGGAGCCCAGAACAATAAGTAAAAGAGAGAGGGGGAAAGAGCCGTGGAGTGTTCCAGGAAGATGAAATAGCGGGTTCCAAGGCTTGGGGGAGGGCGGCTCATGCAGAGAGAGCAGGAGAGGAGTGGAAAGGGTCTGCCAGGCCTAGCAGGTGCACACATAAACACGTACACTGCACTTGTGTGTCCACTCTAAAACCTCCTGGGAGAGGCAGAACACAAGAGGGGTCCCTCTGGGGGACAGGAAAACCCCAAACCCCAGATGCCATCCTTTCGGGTCACCCATAGAGACACGGAGACCCAGAGACAGCCAGGTCCCTGCCCGAAGCCACACAGGCTCCTGCCCACGCCCCCAGACACCCTCGCGATTCTCAGCTCCTTCTGAATCTAAACGGCCATCTGAAGCCCAGGCCCCCATCCCAGAAGGAAAACACACACACACGCTTTTTAAATTTTGATTTATAAGACATTTGCACCAAGGGGCAAACCCCTAAGTGACTACTTCATACATTCACACATACCCTTTTTTTACTGTCAAAAATACAAAAGCAGCCCCGGCCTGTGTTGCTCAGTGGTTAGAACATCAGCCCGTGCCCCAAAGGCTCCCGGGTTTGATTCCCAGTCAAGGGCACGTACTTGGGTTGCAGGTTTGCTCCCCACCCTGGATTCGGAGGCAACCAATCGATACGTCTCTCTCACATAGATGCTTCTGTCTCTCCTCTCTCTTCCCCCCACCTCTCTCTCACTCACTCACTCACTCTTTCTTCCCCTCCCTCCCTTCCACTCTGTCTGAAAAGCAATGGAAAAAATATCCTCAGGAAAAGATTAACAACAAAAAAGAAGCAAAACTGCAATCCTGTTATGCCTCCCTTCCCTCCTTCCCCCCAACCCCACCCCACTACACACACACACACACACACACACACACACACACACATATTTCACACACTGCAAATTTAGTACATGTGGCTCAGACTGTACCCTGGCCGGGTTTCTCAATGGTTAGAGCTTTGGCCTGTGGACTGTAGGGGCCTGGGCTCAATTCCCGGTAAAGGGCACATCCCTCGGTTGCAAGTTCCACCATGCAGGGGTGTGGGGAGAGGGTGGGGGGCAGCCCGATCGATGTGTCTCTCTCACATCGATGTTTCTCTCTCTTTTTCTCTGCCCCCCTCCTCCTCCCTCCCTTCCACTCTCTCTAGAAATCAATGGAAAAAGTATCCTCAGGTGAGGATTAAAAAAAAAAAAAAAAAAAAAATCAGACTCTGAGCCAGACACCTGGGTTCACAACCCTGATCTTTCCCTGCTGGCTGAGTGAACGTGGACAAACCCCCAGGCTCCTCTGTGCCTCAGTGTCCTTAGCAGTAAGTCAGGAATAATAACGTCGCCTGTCTTATATATCCGAGTGAACAAGTATATAGAAAGTGCTTAGCGCGGCGCCCGGTGCTGGGTGTTATGTAAGCACCAGCTGTTATTATTGGACAGTCTCTCCGAGTTTCACCGAGCCCCGTAACAGCCCCGTGGACCAGGGTTAAGAACCACAATGGGGGGGGGGGGGGGCGGGGATCACAGACTCTCTGAGCTGGACAGAACCCCTGCAGGGAGGGAGAACCTGTCCACTTCATCCAGGCTCTCCCTGGGGCCACCCCGAATCCCCCCAGTCCCCACCCTGACCCACACCCTTTCCTATTTACACCCAGACGGAGGCAGCCTGCACGCTGACTCACCCTTGGCTCAGACCAAGCCATTGTTCTGGGGTGGGGGGGGAGTCGGAGTGAGGAACAGCGGCCCCAAGGAGATGGAGGATGTCAGCGACACAAGGGACCCAAGACGGGGACACCCACACACAGCGAGGCTGGCCTTGCGAGGCGGAGAGAGGGCAAGCGAGGGGTCAGAGCGGTGGCCCCAGCGTGCTGCGTGAGAACGCCCCCAGGACACGGGACACGCACTCCCGTGTCCCAGACAGGCAGTCACGTGAAGCCTGGCACACACGCAAGACTTTTTACAGAAGCAGGGAGCTCACTGGTCCTGCAGACGGTGTCCCGCCAGAGAGAGATACACACACAGCTCACCCAGGCACTCCCATCCTCAGACCAGGCAGTTCAGTGTACAGTCTTCTCTGGCTGTAATACATACGCTCGACACACACACACAAGCACATCAGTCCTCCACCCAGTCTTAGGTCCTGACACCTGTGTCTGCCTGTACGTCTCTTTCTTAGATTTGGAGATAGACATCAGTCACAGTCTTGTCTATGTCCCGCACACACGCTCACAGACATATACATTCGTACCACGTAACCACCATTCAAATAGTTTTTTGGACATCTAGGGTGTCTAGCTGTCTCCTTCCCTTACACACCTGTACACACATATGGGCAAACACACATACTGTCATACAGTTAAAGTGATACACATCCATTGTATAGCCTCAGTGTTGCTTCGTGAGATTCTTTGTTTCTTTCACATTCACAGGATTCTTAACCTTGAACATCACAGCGACACCCACCGTCTTTCCCACATGCAAGAGTACACACAAACTTCTTTCCTGGAATCACTCTGCCATGTGATTCTATCTCATCTCTCCTGCTCTTTCTCTCATACACACACACACACACACAGAGAGATAAAGATCATTTAGCCAGTCCTGCCTCCAGGTGAACACACGCATGTGTGCACACTCACACACACACACACACACACTATGATGCCTGGGTCAGAACCAGAGCCAACATGTGCAGAATTTCCAGCAAAGACACCCAGTCAGTCCCCCGTTGCCTGCTCTCCCAGGAGTTGCCTTTGACCCCCTCTGCCCTCCCCTGCGTCCACACCCGTGCCCTCCCCCTCCCCTCAGCCCTCCATCTGGTGGGTCCAGGCAGGCACTTAAGTCCTCTCTCTTCTGCCTCCCCATCCCCCAACCCTTCCCCATCCTCTCTCCAAAAGCCCAGAGGCCCTCGCTGCAGGCTTTCAGGGGTTGCCATGGCAACAGGACCTCATCCCTCGTCCCCCTGGGGGTGGGCTGAGGACCCGGCCAGCCAGACCGATAAGGGGGTTCCAGTTACTGTGGCAACCGTTGCAGGCCTGAGCTCTCCCGCTCATGGAAGGGGGGGAGTGAGTGAATGGTTGCCAAAGCAACCAGGAGCCAGCAAGGACTGGGAAGAGGCAGCTGAGCCCTGTCTCCCCTGCCCAGGGCCGCTGTGGGCATCGCCAGGCACTTAAGCATCATTCTTCCACCCCCTGGGGTTGTTTTAGGGGAGGGCAGTGAAAGGCAGGTTATAAAACAGGGATTCCACTTGCTCTCCCAGCTACCCACGATGGCCTGAGCTTGCCCATGCCAGCTTGCCCTGGCTTCCCAAACGTGACCACACCTTCTCAGGGCCTCAGTTTTTCTCTTGCCATTAAAATGGGGCCTGTTGTCTCTTCCTTGCTCAACAGGAACCACAGAGCGAGTATGCCTGGTTCAGGGCACAGCAGAGGCCTTGAATGCTGTGCACAGCTTTATTGCCGAGAAGGTCCGAGAAATCCCACAAGCGATGACCAAACCTGAGGTGGTCAACATCCTTCAACCCCAAACCACAATGAACCCCGACAGAGCCAAGCAGGTCAGCAGGGGCAGACGGGTTTTTTCTGTGAAGCTGGTGAGGCTCGGCAAATGACACGTCCTCCCACCCCTGGATTATTAGGGGGGTTCAGAGGGTTACTGTTGATAAAATGTTTGGCAAATACCTACACAGCAGTATCACTTAGCAAGTACCCCTAATTGCATTATTATTATTATTATTATTATTATTATTATTAATTATTATTAGGGAGTCCACCTGGGGACTCCAGTCTTGCTGACTGAGGGAGAGGGTAAAGGTCTAGGAGAATTTGGCCCACAGCCCCCGACTGACCCCCTCCTCCTCCCTGGGACCTTCTCCATCCCCTCCCGCCCTCCATCTCATCCCATTGTCTCTCCCAGCAACCTGCCCCCCACTTCCTGTTCTCGCCGGAAGTAACCTCCGCGACAGCCCCCCGCTCCACATCCCGGGGAGTGTAGCCTCTCACGCTCCCTCTCTCTCTCTCTGTCTCTCCATGAATTACCACTGTATGGGTGCAGCCACCATTTTGGAGAAAGGGTGTTTCGTTAGCAGGAGCGGGGCGCGCCCCTCCTCTCCCACAGAGCCATCTCTGGGAAAGACGGAAGGAGGAGGGCCGCGCCTCTCCGCTCGCCGTCTCCCTCACGGGGCCGCGGCGGCCGGGGGGGCGTGGCCAGGGAGCGGACCAATGGCGGCCCAGGCCGCTCCGGTTGCCATGACGACGGTGCGGCAGGTGGGCTGCTGCGGAGACTCCGGGGCGGCGGACCCAGGCGGAGGGGAGCGCGGGGCGAGCTGCGCGCTCCCCCGTTTTCTCTCCCGGCTCCCGCTCCCACAGCCCCTCCTCACGAGGTGTAAGAGGGGCGAGAAGCCCTGGGCGGCGGACAGGCCACTTGGGAGGGGTCCTGCATGTCCGCCTAGAAACAAATGGGGGGCCTTGAGGAAAAAAAAAAAACACCTGGAATTCTTGGTCATTCTTGTTGCTCTGGGTCGGGAGGAACCGCGGACCAAGTTTCCCCCACGTTGGTGGGGGAAACGGTGGTGGGAAAGCCTCGGAAGAATGCTGCCCGGCAAGCAGCAGGTTGTCCCCAAAAAAAGGACTGGGGCTGGGAGCGCGGCCGCTGTCCTTGGTGCTGAATCCGCTCCTCCGCGCCCTTCGCCCTGCCGGCCTCTGCCACCAGCAGTGTGCCCACAGTGTACAGGCAAGCGAGGGTATTGCCTCTTCCCTCCACCTTGGTCGCTGCCACAAGGGACCCCGGGTCCACCAAGAGTTTGTCCATGTTGCAGGGGAAACAGGGTCAGCACCATGTGTGCCTGAGCCTCCCACCCCCACCCCCTCATCCACAGGAACTCCGAAGCAGCGGAGTCGGAGGTGGATAGGACCAGAATTTTTCCCTCTGCCTGATTACTCCAGGATTCCACAGAATGAGAGGGATCAAGCCCTGGAGTCATACGTTGATCTGCATCTTACTCTAATGCTTCTTACCTGTGTGACCTTGAGCAAGTGACTTGATTTCTCCACATACCTCATTTCATCATCTATAAAATGGGCTTTATTATGGCCCCTGCTTAAGGTGGTAGTTTGTGTTCACCGGTGTGGGAAATCAGCGTGTATGCCTAATGCCGAGATCGCCAATCTGTGGCTCTTCAGGCCCTTGAGTGTGGCTCTTCCACAAAATGCCACGGCCTGGGCGAGTCTATGTTGAAGAAGTGGCATTAGAAGAAGTTTTAAGTTTTAAAAATGTGGCTCTCAAAAGAAATTTCAATCGTTGTACTGTTGATATGTGGCTCTGTTGACGAGTTTGCCGACCACTGGCTTAATGCATAGAAAGTTCTCAAAAAAAAAATGTTATTACGGGATTTTTTTTTAGCCAGGAGACAGGTCAGGCCGTTCCCTTTTTCCCTGGACTTGCTGTATTACTCTGAGTCTTCTTCCTTTCTATAAGCCTCAGTTTCCCTTTCGTTACAGTGTGGAAGCTGACCAAACCAGGGATTATATACTGAAATGCCTCCAGGACTCAGAAAGGGAACGTGAAGGATTGAGGACCAAGGCTTCATGGCAGAGATATAATCCCACCCGTTAAGGGGGCAGCTGCTGCTCAGCTACACTTGATGCTTGCCCTTTGGGGATATGGACATAGGGTTGCCACATCTTCCACATTTTTCAAAAGAAGCCAGAAATCCTTGAAATCGGCTGATTTTTAAAGAACAGCTTCGATTTTAAATACTGTGTGGCGCCCTAGCTGGTTTGGCTCAGTGGACAGAGCGCTGGCCTGTGGACTGAAGGCTCCCAATTTTATTCCAGTCAAGGGCACATGCCTGGTTGCTTGGCTCAATCCCCAGTAGGGGGCGTGCAGGAGGCAGCCAATCAATGATTCTCTCTCATCATTGATGTTTCTATCTCCCTCCCCCTCTTCCTTTCTCTCTAAAGTCAATAAAAATATTTTTTTTTAACAAAACACTTTGTGGCTACAGGCTGGTTATGGCCTAAGGAACAACAGTGTGCCACCAGTTTGCTAAACCGGTGATGCTCAGCCCTGGCTAGAATCTGAATTATCTAGGGAGCTTACAATATGTACTCCAGGGTCCCCACCTTGACCCAGAATTTCTGGGGCTAAGGCCTTGGAATCTGAATGTGGACTCTGGCCTGGGATCAGATCCTAGCTCTATTGTTCACTATCTGAACCTGTAACCTTGAGTAGGTTACTGACCCTCTCTGTGCCTTTATTTTCCACTCCGTAGAAAGTGATAATAATAGTACATCCCTTGTTGGGTTACTGCCAGGATTAAGTAAGTTACTGTATGAGAGTTTAGAAAAGTGTGTGGCACATGGTAAGCTGCTGCTGCTACCATGGTCATTACTGTTAGTTTAAAATCTCCAGACTTGCAAATCATGGGACAGATGGTCTCTGAGGACCTTCTGGCTCTCAAATGCCTACAATTCAGTGGCTCTATGATTCCAGAATTCTACGCATCTATTATTCTAAGATTCTACGGTTCTAACATCCTGAGACTCCGGGGTTCCATGGAGCTGTCCCTGGGACTCCCTCTAAGATGCAGTGGCTCTCCGTTCTGGGGTTAGTGTGAAGGCAGCCACTGTTTTCTGAGGCTTCCTGTAAGCTGGGCACCAGGCGGGCGCTTTAGTCGTTGAACATCCCCAGTCACTGTGCGTAGCTGTGACCATGTCAGAGTGGGAGATGAGGAAACGGAAGCACAGGGAGGTGAAGCCATTTGCTTTCACCTTTTCTTGGCGATCAGTGTTGGGGAGAAATTATTTCATCCTTCCCCCATTGCTCTGAAATGCTTTGTCACACAGGAGGCACCTCTTTGCTGTCAGATCTGGTTTTGTACTCTCTTTGTTCTATCCCTTTCACTTGTCAGGCTTCTTATTTTCTAATGACTTTTTTTTTTAAATAACAGTTGTACTGAGATATAATTCACATACAGTAAAGTTCACCGTTTTTAAGTATATAATTCAGTGGGTTTAGTATATTCACAAAAGTGTGCATTGATCACCACTACCTAATTCCAAAAAAAAACTTCACCACCTCAGAGAGCTCTATAACCATTAACAGTCACCCTCCATCCCCCCTAACCCCCCTCCCAGCCCCTTCCCAACACTGATTATTTTGGTGTCTAGAGATTTGCCAGCTCTGGATATTTTATATAAATTAAATTATATTTATGTGGGGTTTTGTGCCTAGCTTCTATTTTCAAGATTCATCCATATTGTAGCACAAGCATTTCAAACTCAAAGGCTAACTCGGGCCAAATAAACAAGGTTTAAGTTTATGTGGGCCGCAAAAACACAAAAGCTTCAATTTTCATAGAAATGTAGGTCTATTTCATTAGAGACATGTTGAATACAAAGGGCTGAAATAAATGAGTCATGTTAACATAAAATAATAGAACATTTTAATAAAAATTAATATTTTTTCTTGAACATTAATTTACCAGACACTGAATAACCACACAAATTAATAAGCGTAACACAAATAGACCTACCTATTTTTCTTGTTCTCCAAAAGCAAAATGTTTCCTGATGCACACACCAAACAAGTCAGTCCAAGACTAATGACGTGATAATCGGCTGCTAAAATATTCACTGCTAGTATTAGTGAGAGAAATGGTGCGGCTGCACATAAGACAGATAAGGGAAATGAATGCAATACGATTATAGTAATTAGTCATTAGCAAACATTGTAGTTAGTTATTGGTAATTATGTATAAAAGGATATTGTAAAAATTAAGTTACGAAAATTTTATTAAAACATTTCTTATTTACCATTATATTGGCTGGTCCGCATGCGGAGTTTGACATGCTTGTTGTAACACATATCAAAACTTCATTTCTTGTTATGGCCAAATCATATTTCATTGTATGAATATATCACATTTTTGAATCCTCCCCTGATGATATGTCTATTGATTTGAGAGAGAGAGAGGGAGAGAGAAACATTGATCTGTTGCCTCCTGTACACTCCCCAACCAGGGATGGAACCCACAATCTAGGTATGTGCCCTGACGAGAATTGAAACCACAACCTTTTGGTGTAGAGGATCCACGCTTCAACTAATGGAGCCACCTGGCTGGGACTGAACATACCACATTTTTTCTATTCATCAATTGACAGAAATTTGGATTGGTCCTACTTTTTAGCTACTATAAATAATGCTGTTAGTGAACATGAGTGTGAACATATGTTTTCAGTTCTCTTGGGTATATACCTAGAGATGAAATTGCTGGGTCATAGGATAAAATCTGTTTAACCTTTTGAAAAAATTGCCAGACTGTTTTCCAAAGTGGCTGAAACACATGTGAGATTTAAATTCAAGTCTGTCTAGGAGGTAACAATGACAACAATCATTTTTTTTTTTTTGGTACCTACTATGGGCGCATACTAACTGCACACTCACATGGCACCTTAGCTTGACACATACCCGTGTTTCCCCGAAAATAAGACATCCTCCAAAAATAAGACCTAGCACATGGAAAGATAAGACATCCCCTGAAAATAAGACCTACCT